TGCACCAATGACCACTGGGACCACCTGTACTGGTTTATGCCAGAGCCTCTGCACTTCAATTTTGAGGTCTTGATAGCGGCTGAGTTTTTCTTGTTGTTTTTCCTCAATGCGACTGTCACCTGGAATTGAGACATCAATAATCCAAACTTTATTTTTTTCCACAATTGTGATGTCTGGTGTATTGTGTTCCAAAGCTTTGTCAGTCTGGATTCAAAAGTCCCACAGTATTATTGTATGCTCATTTACCACAACCTTTGCGGGTTTATGATCCCACCAATTCTTTACTGCTGGCAGGTGGTACTTGTGACATAAGTTCCAGTGAATCATCTGGGCTACAGTGTTGTGTCTTTGTTTGTAGTCCATCTGTGCGATTTTCTTGCAACATCTGAGGAGATGGTCCATGGTTTCATCAGCTTCCTTGCACAGTCTGCATTTTGGGTCATCAGCTGATTTTTTGACTCTACAAAGCCTTTTGTACACAGTTCAAGGTTTGCACAATGTTCACTGTTTTCCGCAGCTGACACAGCAGGTTAAACCGCCGGCTACAAAAAATCTTGCTGACCAGAAAGTCGGCAGTTCAAGCTGCAGGTCAGGGTGAGCTCCTGCCATCAGGCCTAGCTTCTGCTTACCTAGCAATTTGAAAACAGCAATGTGAATATATAAATAGGTACTGCCCTGACGGGGAGCTAAAAGGCACCCCAGAAAAAACATGCCAGTAATTCGATCTAGTAGGCATCCATAGGCCATAGGGTCATCAATGTGGAAAAATGGAGCAACAGCACCTCCCCATGGCTGAGTCGAGCACAGCCTCCAGATGCTCGGAATGAAAGAGGGAAGCCTTGCCTCTGTTGGTCATGGGGGTTCTGTGTAGGATGTTTGGCCCAATTATATTACCGGTGGCGTTCAGAATGCTCTTCGAATGTAGGTAAACTATAAATCCCAGCAACTCAGAATGCTCTTTGATTCTAGGTGAACTATAAATCCCAGCAACTACAACTCCCAAATGTCAAAGTCTACTTTCTCCAAACTCCACCAGTGTTCACATTTGGGCATATTGAGTATTCGTGCCAAGTTTGGTCCGGATCCATCACGGTTTGAGTCCACAGCTCTCTCTGGATGTAGGTGAACTACAACTCCCAAACTCAAGGTCAGTGTCCACCAAACCCTTCCAGTATTTTCTGTTGGTCATGGGAGTTCTGTGTGCCAAGTCTGGTTTAATTCCATCATTGGGGGAGTTCAGAATGCTCTTTGATTGTAGGTGAACTATAAATCCCAGCGACTACAACTCCCAAAGGACACAATCTACCCCAGCAGTATTAAAATCTGGCCATATTGGGTATTTGTGCCAAATTTGGTCCAGTGAATGAAAAGACATCCTGCATATTAGATATTAACATTACGATAATAATAATAATAATAATAATAATAATAATAATAATAATAATAATACTACTTCATTTATACCCCGCCACCATCTCCCCAAGGGGACTTGGGGCGGCTTACATGAGGGCAAGCCCAACAACACATCAGTAAAAACAAAACAGCAAGTAAATAAAACAGTACAGTACGATTCATAACAGGAGCAAAATGACAGTTGTGAAGTAGCAACAAAAATAATGTTATGGTTGGGGGTCACCACAACATGAGAAACTGTACTTAGGAGTTGCGGCATTAGGAAAGTTGAGAACCACTGGTCTATGTACTGTCTGTCTTTGCTGCTAATTGTATAATGGCATTGAATAATTGCCATATATATATATTCTGTAATCCGTTCTGAGTCCTCTCGGAGAGATAGAGTGGAATATAAATAAAGTGTGTGTGTGTGTATTTATATATGTGATCAGAACTTTTTCTATTTTTCTGGCATTCGTACATTTCTGCTACATAGACTCCCACTCTCTTTTCCTCAATGTATTTATTTATTGATGACAACACTGACAATCTAATTTACATTTCAGTGAATGCATGCAAAAAAATAGAGAGAGAGAGAGAAACAGGGGAAGAGAGACATATAAAATACAATAGATACATTAAAAAGGAATATATAATTCTACCTTTTACAGATCCAACTAAATAATCCTTCTAGAATTAATAATAATGGCAGATTATGACATTGTTGGATTTTTTGTTGCTTGAAAGATGTTTCCAAGCTCTAAATTAAATTGGCATAACTTTAAGATGATTAGTGTGGGCTATCTCAGCAATTGTGAGAATCCATGTTTCCATTGCTGGTGATTCAGTCCATTTCCAAGGAGGAGCAAACAATTCTTGCTGAAGAAGCCATCAACGTTGACTCTCCCGTTCTCTATCCGTAATACCGAGTAGACATATTTCTGCTAACATTACAAAGTTTTTGCTTTCTTACCCAGTCCATTATATATGGAAAAAGAAACCCTCCTTATGTGGAAATTCCCATCCTTGGTTTGAAACATTCAAGGACAATGTGTTCTCAAAGGATTTCATGGCCGGAATCGCTGGGTTGCTGTGAGTTTTCCGGGCTGTCTGGCCATGTTCCAGAAGCATTCATAGAATCATAGAATCAAAGAGTTGGAAGAGACCTCCTGGGCCATCCAGTCCAACCCCCTGCCAGAAGCAGGAATATTGCATTCAAATCACCCCTGACAGATGGCCATCCAGCCACTGTTTCAAAGCTTCCAAAGAAGGAGCCTCCACCACACTCCGGGGCAGAGAGTTCCGCTGCTGAACGACTCTCACAGTCAGGAAGTTCTTCCTCATGTTCAGATGGAATCTCCTCTCTTGTAGTTTGAAGCCATTTTCCATTGCGTCCTAGTCTCCAGGGAAGCAGAAAACAAGCTTGCTCCCTCCTCCCTGTGGCTTCCTCTCACATATTTATACATGGCCATGGTCTAGTGGCATTCTCTCCTGACGTTTAACATGCCCAGCTCTTTAAGCCACTCCTCATAAGGCTTGTTCTCCAGACCCTTTATCTTGTTAGTCACCCTCCTCTGGACACATTCCCGCTTGTCAATATCTCTCTTGAATTGTGGTGCCCAGAATTGGACACAATATTCCAGGTGTGGTCTAACCAAAACAGAATAGAGGGGTAGCATGACTTCCCTTGACCACTAGGCTCCTATTGATGCAGGCCAAAATCCCATTGGCTTTTTTTGCCGCCACATCACATTGTTGGCTCATGTTTAACTTGTTCTCTTCTGATGTTTCCCCTGCATCCTCAGAGGTTGTGAGGTCTATTGCAAACTAGGCAAGTGGGGTTTATATATCTGTGAAATAATGTCCCATGTGGGAGAAAGAACTCCTGTCTGCTTGAGGCAAGTATGAATGTTGTAACTGGCCAACTTGATTAGCATTAAATAGCCTTGCAGCTTCAAAGCCTGGCTGGTTCCTCCCTGGGGGAATCCTCTGTTGATTCTTTGTTGTCCTTTAAAGATTAATGAGGGTACAATGTGCTCATTTTGCCATCTCATGGGAGGTTTGTAAAGTTTGTGCACAAGGTGATCAACAAAGGATCCCCCCAGGCAGCAACCAGCCAGGCTTTGAAATTGCAAAGACATTAAATGTTAATCGATGTCTTCTTTGTGTAGTCTGAGATGATGGTTGACACAGTGGTCCAGTATTTCTGTGTTCTCAAATAATATTCTGTGTCCAGGTTGGTTCATCAAGTGCTCTGCTATAGCTGACTTCTTTCCCAAACTCTTCCCAAAAAAAGGATTAGCCCAGGCAGGAAGCAGACAGGCTTTGAAGCTGCAAGGCTATTCAATAGCAAATTGCAACATTCACACTTGCCTCAAGCAGACAAGAGTTCTTTCTCCCACCCTGGACATCATTCCACTGATATATAAACCCCACTTGCCTAGTTTCCAACACACCTCACAACCTCTGAGGATGCCTGCCATAGATGTGGGCAAAGTGTCAGGAGAGAATGCTTCTGGAACATGGCCATACAGCCTGGAAAACTCACAGCAACCCATTCATTGAAATTTTTACCAATCTATTAAGGGTAAGTTGTCAGCTATACATTATCTTATACACAAAGACAGCACAAAGTACATTTTATATCTTTGGAACATATTTTCCTCATACCTTCATTTGAACATCAAGTCCCACATTTAGAGCCCACTGTATCACAAACACGTTTACAGGTCCATCTTCTGCCTCTAGTTTCTAAAATCATTTACACACTTTCAAAATTCCATGTTCATCATCTTTATGCATCTCTAAATACAACAAATACCTCTCCCATCTCCATTGCTATTCATTAAATCTGTCACTGAGTTGCATCGAAGCAAACCAATTGAAATCTTTGCCTCCCTTAAGAAGTCTCTCTCTTGATTTAAACTTCTGTCTTGCACAATGTACAATAGATCACCTTAAAACAGCTATCTGTAGCTTTCTGACGAAGAAATTACCTAACGAACATAGTGGGAAGGCTTTATTTCTAAAAGCATACATTTGGGGTGCGAAACAAAATTCCAACTGACAGTTTATATCATAGCTCCATAATATGCAGTCCTAGGAGTTATAGTTTTCCAAGGTAGATCCCCTTCTCTGTGGGGTAGCTGAGAGAGAGAGTGCATCGCCACCTTCCTCCCTCCCTCTCTGCTTTCGAAATTGAAGACACGTAACAGCTGATATTTCAAAGAGAGGAAGTTTTTTTTCCTCACAAGAAACACTGGGATGGTGGGCGGTGCCTAGCAATTACAGTATGATGGCAAAATCAATTGGAACAATGCTGAGTACAACTGAGTAACACGGATACATGTAACTGTGTGATGAAGGTAAGAAAATTATCCGTTTCTTTTCAAAACTGAGTATGACTGAGCTCTATTCTACCAAACACTTCCCTGCTTCAATGTGATGAAGTCCCGTATCATCTAAACCTTAAAACATGACCTTCAAGGTCCAAGAACCCCTCATTTCAAAGTAATATCCACTCTTTCAACTGCACAAAACAACATGCTCGTTAATACGATTTAATAGTCTCAAACTCACTAACATACTTTTCTCAAATAGTATGTTACTGAGTCTCCTTTCCTGACAAACAAATCTGGACATTTCTTTCTCCCATTTCTGTGTGGTCCTTTTGATGGTTCACAAGTTGGATATTCCATGAAAAGCATTTTCCACACTCCTGGCATTCGTATGGTTTCTCTCCGGTGTGAAGTCTTCGGTGGCTCACAAGGTTTGAACTGGTAGAAAAAGATTTCCCACACTCCTGGCACCCATATGGTTTCTCACCCGTGTGGACTCTCTGGTGAACCACAAGTTGGGCGTTCCCGGAAAAAGATTTCCCGCACTCCTGGCATTTATAGGGTTTTAATCCAGTGTGGAGGGTCTGGTGGGTCACAAGGTGTGAACTGTGAGCGAAACATTTCTCACACTCTTGGCACTTGTATGGTTTCTCTCCAGAGTGGAGTCTTTTGTGCTTCACAAGGTACGAACTCCGAGCAAAACATTTGCCACACGTCTGGCATTTGTGGGGTTTCTCTGTTGTGTGTACTCTCCAGTGGGCTACAAGGGTTGAATTTTGAGAGAAGCTCTTCCCACACTCCTGGCATGTATATGGTTTCTCTCCTGTGT